CCCCCACCCTGCTGAGACTCAGGGTCCAGTCCAAACTCCTCAGCTCCCGGGGCCCCTCTGGGCTGTCAGCGCCGCGCTTGGTGAGAGTTTTGATGACCCTTTCCGGCCAGGGCCGGCGTGTGCCTAGGCCTAGACGGCTCCACCTTGGGAGGTGAGAAGAGGGAAACCTGGACCTAAGTAAACCTGACCTTTGCTCGCCGGGCACCCAGTCCCTGCTGCCATCTGGCTGCTCAAAGCCCAAGAGGGTGGTGCCTGTTCGGCTCCGATCTTCGGGTTGTGAAGACATGGGTTTTCCACGTGGTTCCACTCGCGCCTCAGGAAGGCAGGAATGATGGGGGGGTTATGGGGTACCCACACAGCGACGCCAGGAGTGAGGCAACCTGCCATCCCAACGCTGAGCCCTCATAACGCTGCTGGGGTGGGCACTAACGACACCCACGCGCAAAGCGCACGGGACCCACGATGCTCGCCCCTAACCCAGCGCCTTCGCAGCCTCCCCAAAGCGCTGCCTGCCAAGGTGAGGCCCGGTGGGGAAGCCCGCGAGACCGGATGGAGAAGTCGCTCTACTTTGCGAGGCTTGGGTAGGCCAGCCAGGCCGGCACGCCTTGAGCACCGAGTCGGGGCGCGCCTGGAAGCTCCCCCTTCATCCTTATCGCCTTAGAACGACCCTCTAGAGTTAATCCCGCTGAGAAATTAACACTCCACACCTGTTTGATTATTTGCAGAAGACTGTCAGGCGGAGTTAGCCAAAGGGAAGCCATTATCGAGCGCTGGGGGTTGAATTTCAGTCCGCTGGACCACAGTGCTTACTCTCAGCGAAACGCAGCAGCCCAAGAGTTGTTTTGGCTGCGTCGAGCCGCGTGGATGGGGTGGGTCATCCAGAAGAAGGAATTCTGAGTGGTGGCTCTAGAAATGTTAAGATTGGCAGCCTCCAGACCGTACTGTTTTTTATGTTGGTCACGCTTCTCTTAAGAGCGACTGGAAGGCAACAAGTTGGATTTTTGTGTAGTCACACAAACGCTTAACCACTGTAACCCTGGGCAAGAAAGGAACGGGAATTGTATGCCTTCCTTGGGTTTGAGGGTTTTTCTCTCCACTATTTTATTCATAATTCGAAAAGCAAATAAAACATTTGAAAAGAAGCAAATTAGAAGTTAGGTCTGTGTGTTTGATTAGCTGCCGGCCCCTGTTTTGATACATAAATACCGTGAGGAGACAAAGCTGGATTGTTCCCTGCATCAGATGTTACTGTTTTCCCTTAAATGCGCTCTCAGTAGCCACAGACATGCTTTCAAGGATTGCTCGCCAAGGAGTTTTGAGTAAAGTCAGCTGGCAAGCAACGGGGAAGTAAAGCCTGAGTCTTCCACAGCTGCCAAAAGCTAGCTGCCCAGGCCCTGAAGTTTAAAAAAAAGAAAAGGGAAGCATTCTGTCCGTGGTGCCATTGAGTGCCGCTGGAAGAGTGCCAGTCAGCTTCCACAGTGACTTTGGGGAAATGACTCCGTGCTGGATTCCACACCCACTTAGCTGTTGTGCTTACTCTTAGGTTATGACCGGGGTTCAACATCCGTAGGCAGAGATACACATTTAATAATTGTGCTGTCCAACGTAGGTGCCGCCGAGCGCAGGGCAAAATACCGGGACAGCAAATATGACGCTTTCTCTTGGAGCTCACAGCCCCCCTGGAGAGGTACTTAATAATTAAATGTACTAAAACTAATTACAATTTTGATATGGACAAAAGGAAGTGTAAGAACAGAATCATTTGGAGAGTCCAAGGAAAGTGTCTTTAAGCTTGGTTTTCTATTGCTATGATAAAACACCATGACCAAAAGCAGTTTGAGAAGAAAGAGTTGGTTTGGCTTACAACTCATCATCCAGGGAAACTGAGGCAGGAACTAATACAGAGACAATGGAGGAACCCTGTGGCTTGCTCAGCCTGCTAGGATTGCCTGCCTGGGACAGCACTGCTACCGGTGGGCTGCACCCTTTCATATCAAGCATTAATCAAAAACAAAAAAACAAAAAAACAAAAAACGCACTGCAGACAATCGGGTAAAGCATTTGTCAACTGATGTTCCTCTTCCCAGATAACTCTGACTTGTGTCAAGTTGACAAACAGAAAAAGCAACCAGAACAAGAAGTTTCTAGCTTTCAAGGGCCAAGGTGTAGAAACAAGCAGGGTTTGGGTGTTATTCAATGAGACATTTGAGGTAGAAATTATATTCTAAAATTTGCACTACAGGTAAGTTATCCTCCGCAATTTGAAGGGGGCAGGGCACAGCCAGGAGGGGGGGTGGTCGAGACAGCAGTAGAGAACAGACACCACCACAAAGGCTTGGGCAACTGCTTAGATCTGTGGGACTCGAGGGCAACTACTAAGTGGTGCTGCTTCGTCCTGATGGATGGCCGTTTTCTGAGCTGGGGAGTCTCGCTTGGTCAGGGTACCTTGTGTTCTGGAGTAGCTGGTGTCGCTGTATGTCGAAGACCAGCGTCGAGGGAATTCATACGTTCCAGGGTAGGAGCATGAGGATTAGAATTATTAAGCCAAAGGGAACAGAGATAGAAGAGCATCAGAGGCAGAAACCCAACAGCATCGGGAGGGGCATTCAGTGAACATGAATCCAAAATCCCTCCACGTTTATTTTCCACACGCTTAAATACTTCATTCCGAAAGGGAAGAGGGATGCAACAGACTTCATTAACATGCCATAAGGAATAGACTTGAATACTCCGACCCTTGGCTTAGGTGGAGTGTATCCACCTCTATACCCAAAATACGAGTTAGCCACACCCTAGGTCAGAATCTCTTGTTGGTAGCCACATCTGTTGTCAGTAACTTTAAAAGAGCAAGAACAAGCTCAGACTCTCTGACCTCCAGTCCAGGTGGAACAGGCTCACATCCATGGGCCCTCACAACTGTAGCATGAAATATACAGAAGGGAGTCTAAGAGAACGTAGAGCTAGATCAAGAGGGGTCCTGAGATGCATCCTGACAACTCTGACCTCAGGCATGGACAAAGTCCGCACTCGTGGTGGGAAAGAGCCGTTGAGTGAGGCAGGGAGAAAGGTGGAGCTTGAGGAGGTGGGCGTCACAGTCAGTAGAGCAGGCAGACTCAACAGGGGAAACAGGCGTTAACAACTCTTAAAACGGCAGAGAAACCCCAATGACATGAGGATTGATATAAGCTTGGTTTAGAGGCTTGGACGTTGTTGGGACTTTTGCAGGTCATGGCTAGTGGAGCGAAGAATGGCCTAAGGAGGAAACGAGAGATAAAAGCAGTAATGGGAGGGGGAGGGATGATGTAATTAGATTTTAATTTTTAAAAAATGAAAAAAAACACAAATAAGAGCAATTACCCCCCCCCCAAAATTATTTTTATTTATTTTAGAGACAGGTACCAAATGTACCTAGAACTCTAGAAAAGTTTGACTGTGAAGAGTCAGAACTAGTCAGAGGCCTGAAGAGGTGGCTCAGTATCGTTGCTCTTGTGGAAGACCCAGGGTCAATTCCCAGCTCCCACATGATGGTTCACAACTATCCCTAACTCCAGTTCCAGGGCTTCTAACGCCCTCTTCTGACCTCCATGGATACCAGGCACACATATGCTACACAGACATACATTCAAGCAAAAAATTCATATACTAAATACATTTTTTAAAAAATGCCAGAGAGGAATGTTACATCAGCCATGGGCTGTGACTTATATGGTCATCCTTGTTTGTAAGGTAAAATAACTTGAGAGTTTGTAAATGCAGATGGGAAGGAGCCCACAGAGAAGAGGAAATTAGAGCAAGGGAAAAACAGTGGACAGCAAAGGTTCTGCACCCAAGGTGGAAGATGGAGCTGGGGTTTAGGAAAGGCTGCGCTCATGGGGGCCTCATCTATGACAACAGGAAGAGACTTGCTGTAAAACCTTTGCACCTGATGGCAGGGAGGCTAGAGACAAGGCAAGGGCTGGTGCAAGATTTGAAGAGAGGGAGAAGTTTGGCCCAGTTATCAGAGGGCTTGGGAGAATCGGAATAATCAAACACCAAGAAAAGTCAGCATGACCATCCATTTGAAGCTGGTGTCTGTAGCCCTCCTTTGTGGTTTCCCCCAACAGCTCAGCTGCCTGGGCTGGTCCAGTCTCAGGTGAGGGAATTGGTAGAGCAGAGGGACAGAGGAATGAAGACCTGATCCAAGGTGATGCATGATCAGAGAGAAAGGGCAAGAGACCACTCAGCTCTGGTCCCTTACGAAGGAAAGGAGGTTAGCCATGAGATCTGGATATTCAGAGGTGAACTTTAGGGCCATGGGAAAGGCAGAAAGTAGTAGGGGAGAGTAAAGGTGAATGCTCCAGAAATATTGATACCAAGACTAAGGAATTAAATGGCAAGGTTGATGGATGGGCCATTGACATGAGTGAAGCAACCCAGGATATGGGCAGGAACAAGGAACGCTTTGTGAAGACACTGGGCCAGGAGCTAAAGTTCTACGAAAGTAAGGGGCCTGGAGATCAGAAAATCGGGAGCAGCAGAAAGGGGAAGGGATATGGCTGGATGTCATTCCTCCTAAAGGAGTGTGTGCAGGAGTCAGGAGGGTAATCAGGGAGAAGGAAGGTTTCTCCCTGCCTCTGGACCCTTGGAGAACATAAGTGAGAGTCAGCAGCCTCCCCTCCCTGTTGGGGAATATAATGTTAAGGTGTGTGACTTTTGTTTATGCTGCATTTGCTTAGCTCTGTGAAGCTGTGTTACTGCGCCTGTCTAAAACACCTGATGGTCTAATAAAGCGCTAAATGGCCAATAGCAAGGTAGGAGCAAGGATAGGTGGGCCTGGCAGGCAGAGAGGATACACAGAAGGAGAAACAAGGAAGAGGAAGAGCAATGAGAGAAAAGGAGAGGAGGACATTGGGGCCAGTCACCCAGCGACACAGCAAGTCACGGAGTAAGAAGGAAAGAAAGGTACATAGAAATAGAGAAAGGTAAAATTCCAGTGGCAAAAGTAGTCAGGATAATTTAAGAAAAGCTGGCAAGAAACAAGCCAAGCTAAGGCCAGGCATTCATAACTAAGAAAAAGCTTCTTGTGTGATTTATTTGGGAGCTGGGTGGTGGGCCTCTCAAAGAACCAAAAGAATAAAACATCACATAACATTTTGGCATCCAACATGGAGCTCAAATATCCATCTAGAGCCTGAGAAAACTGAAAAAAAAAAAGCTCCTTTAAGAATTGGTACTGGTGAGCCTTTGAGCAGCCAATACCTTAAGTAGGAACAAAAAAGGAAGTAAAAATGCCTGCCACAGCAGAGCATCAGCATTCAAATGCAAGTCCTGGTCAGGTACGTCCATCTGACCTGACTGCAAGCTTTGGGCTTGCCTTTCACGACCCAACCTGAGAGCGGGCAAAGCCAGCTGCTAGAGCACGCGGAGGATCCAGGAGCAGCTGAACAGTCTAAAGTTTTCTATGTGATCAAAAGAAGCTAAAAATATGCAACAGAAGAGGTCCAGACAGGAAAAAATCCTCTAAACAGGTTCCAGTGTGTTTACAATGTGTGTAGGGTTAAGAAAGGAAAAAAAAAATAGGAATAGGCAGTCATAGAAAGAAATAGATTGAAAATAATAAAGTCTTTCAAGACCCAGTAAAAGTAATGTAAAAGAAAGAAAAGCTACATAAAGATGGGAAATACACAGGGAGTCTAGATCCTGTATAGGATTGTGTTGATTTTGAATTCTTTGCTGAAAAGCAAAGGACAGCTGCTAAGAGACCTGGATTGAAAGAGGGGCTGTGGACATAAACCAGCCTAGGTGCTTTAAGAATCCCTTAACTTTAAAAAGGTCAAAAACTGTATTTGTCAAATGGAAATCAAAACTGCTTTGGAGAAGCGGTTTTGCTTTTGTTTCCACAGAAAACAAGAGGCTGTGGATTCATACAAGGTTGATTTGGATCTGGTCTGATCAAGGAAGAGCTCCTGAATCTTGGCAGGTGATACCAATAAAGGCTATAACTGGTCTTCCCAGGACTTGGCTATTTCTCAAATTTTCTCTCTGGGGCCCTAAAAGTTCTTTGCCCACATTCAGCAGGAAGCAGTCTAGAGAACACAGCACCCACATTCCCAAGAGAAAAGGGGGTGTGGGTGGTCTTCAGTTATTTTGTGGGTCATGGATG